CACAAGGGCTGAGCAGGTGCTGAGTAGGTGTTGAGGTGCTGGAAAGGTGCTGAGGTGCTGAAAAGGTGTCAAGGTGCTGAGCAGGTGCTGAAAAGGTGTCAAGGTGCTGAGCAGGTGCTGAGATGCCAGGGTGCTGGGTGCCAGCACTTTCCCCCTTGATCACTGCCCCTTATTCTGTTGTTGTTTAATTTTCGACTTGATCGATTGCTGAAAAGCAAGAATTGAGACTAGCAAGTTAAGCTTGTCATTTGGTTAAGAGATAGGTCAGTCTATTTTTCAATTGATTTAAATATTGTACCTATTTTTGCGGTACCAATAGAACATCCTTCCGTGAATTATTGTCCATAATCTCAAGAAATTTATTTCTCTGCCTTTGTACTTTAGTTATAAGACAGCGATATTTTTATTATAATTTATAATTCAAATAAAATTCTTCTTCTGGCTAACTAACATATCCGTAGGACAGCCATATCTCAGTTATATTTCATAATTAAAATTGATTTGTTTTGTTTGGTTTTGTGCTGGAGATAAATGGTGATGGGTCATTGTTTTCATATATTCTTGGATTTATCTTATGATGTTGAAGATTCATCTGTATTCCGAGTCCAATATAGCATATCATCTGATTGGAACAAAGTAGTCTTTAAATAATGAATAGCTACTCTAAAAAAAAAAAAGTATCCTACGAAACCATTTTTGGTTTCATAGGTTTGCTACAGAACCTTTGAAAACGTTTTCTAAACTCTTGATAATTATTTTGAGACTATCTCAGGTTTCTTTGAAACCTTTTTGAAGGTTTCGAATGTGTTGCAATAATGGTACCGTATGGCACCAATTTTTTTTTCAGTGTGGTGTCTCTTCCTGATTATTGCATTGAAATGCTTCAATGTACTTGCGCTTTTCAAGAGTGATTGAGTGCATTTACAAGGAAGGAAATGTCTTTTACGTTGAACGAGACATTGAAACATTTCAAAGAAACAAAGAAAATGATATGAAATGTCTTGAACTGATTCCATTGAACAAGAGGAATAATATGTTTCTCTTCCGACATCACAATGAATAACAAAGCTTTCACTAGTCACATCATTTATTGAAAATAAAAGCAGTGAATTTAGAGGATATAGGGTGTGCGTGTGTGTGTGGGTATCGGCTGTGGGTGGGGTGAGTGTGGGTGTACGTGGGTATAGGTGTGGGTTGGGGTAAAGGTGCACAGGATAAAAACTAATACTAATACTCACACCCACACCCACACCCATACCCGCACCCACACTCACACCCACACTCACATCCATACCCACCCACACCCACACCCACACCCACACCCCGAAATCTAAATATGAAAATATTTTCGTTTGAAAATGAAATTATTAGTATTCAAAAATTCACTTGAATTAAAAACCTCAACTGAACTATGAAAAAAAAAAAAGAAAAAGATTTCTAGTTAGTATATATTTTCAATTTGAATAATATTGATTTTTGTTAGATGGATACCATCTTAACAATTATCACAATAACGTTCGTTAAATTTTTATTGTTAACTTCGATTTTTTATACTCAAATATTCTTTAATAAATTTTTTTTAAATAACAAACTGCTAAGTCTTTATTATGCAGTGGCGTAGCCAGCCTTGGACAATTTAGCAATTGCCCAAGACTAAAATCTTGATGTATGTGTGTTCAAAGACTTCGGCGATATTACTTTAATGAATCGCTTCCAAAACTTGGCAAATCGGAACTTTTTAAGTCACAAATTAGAACAAGTCAGTTAAATTTCGTCTCAAGTCAGACAAGTCAGTCAAATCAGGTCAAAGTCTCTACAAATTCTTTCGAAGTCAGTCAAACAAATCAAAAATGGCTTAACTTGTTTTTGACTTGATTTTCCCAACTCTGCCGCTTCCTGTAGTAATTCAATCGAATGATCGGGAAAACGACAATTCCTCATTAATAAGCATTGGTTTTCGTAATGGATAAGACTTTCAAAGAAATGAAGCCCAATAGACTTTTAATTGTCCCAAATGGTCCAAGATCCAACAATTGCTGGCTACGCCACTGAAGAATATATTTGTGAGACATTAGAGAAACCGAGTATGCTCGCCTCTAACTTGAAAGTAACAATTCATCTTTAAGAAGCATCGGTTTTGTGATAGAAATAAACACTAAAAAAAAATGGTGCCCAATAGATTTTAAATTGCCCAATATTACCCAATTTAAAAAAAAATTATCAGGAAATTGCCCAAGACACAAAAATTCCTGACTTCGACACTGTTATTATGGTTTTAACATGCTTTAGATTCAACCATTTAATTCTGTTCATAATAATAGCTTGGCTTTCTCTAAAGATATGTTTATCATTTTGATTATTTTTCAACTTATAATTTTCTAAACAAAGAAGAAAGCATAAATGTTATGTCTTTATAATGATGATAGAATTGCTAAACTTGGAAAATCGTTTTTATAAATGCCTAATAACTTATCAAGAAATATTCAAATATTGTTATAACACAACAATATTTATATGATATCTAGATAAGTACATATATTAACAGATAAAAAATTGATACTAACCAATCTATAATTTTTAGTCTTATTTTAAGTCACGTATAATGTTAAATATATTTAAAATTAATAAATTACATTGTACAATGAAAAAAATCTTCAATATAATTTCATCTGATTGGTTCACCTATATATTTCTTTTTATAAAAGCATCCTATGTTAAAATAATTAATCATTAATGATTGGTTCTCATTTAGATAATGTCGGTCAAACATCACTCTTCATTTTCACATATATATATATATATATGTATGCATCTATTCTAATTTCAGTTGAACATATTATATCAACAATGAATTGTTCGTCAATTATGAGTATGTAACTATTTGAAAATATCACATTTATTTTTCTTTATTGTTTTATACAGAAGATAATGTTCAATTACTCGATTTACCTGATGAATTAATTTTAATTATTATGAATAAAATCAAACCTCGTATGTTATTGCTTAGTTCTATTATTACTATTGGTAACCATCGTTTGGAACAACTTGTACTTGATAAATGTCATTCAATTGATTTGACTTTTGATTATGTTCAATCACCATATGAAACAGTTATTCAACGATTTTATTCACATATTATGCCTCATATTATTGATAATATTTAATCATTGATAATCAACATTCGACATATTCCTGATATAATCATTTTTGCTAAAAAAAACTATAATGGAACTCTTCCAAATTTGACACATGAAAATAATGATTGGTAGAAAGCATCATAAAACCGGCACTCCTTATACAATAGATAGATCAGGTAAATCATTTTTAAGTATATTTTATTAAACTGTGTTTAAATACTACATCAATTTTATTTTCTGCTTAGAACATAAAGAGAATTCTATGATTTGAGAATTTGAGAATCTCGTCTTGTCACTATTTTTTATGGAAAACATATTTGTACACTGCTGTTATATATATATATAGAATATTTATACAATTCTAAGTAATGAGTAAAAAACTTACTAAATCGTTTAACCTCTACTTGAATAGACTAAAACATTGCTAACAGAAATTATAGTGGAGAAAAATATGGAATAATTCTTTTAGTCAATTTAATATTAGCAGAAAGTAAACGACTAGATTGAAAAATATTATATTGTAACACTCGTATATATATATATATATCTATATATATTTTTTTTTATCAGGCATGATCGTTTACACTGTTTTTCGCCGTCAACCTCTTCACTGTATAATACCTCAATTTGTTCAGTCACATGATTGCTACAGTAGTATGCAAATCTTTTCTAACCTTCGTTGTTCATCACTTATGCGTTCTATTGTACCTTTCGAAATTGAAGATGACTATATTTTACCAAACTTATTTAATTCTGATGGATTGTTTTTCCCACAATCAATTCAATTGTCTCATATCCAAATAACATTATGAATTTGATCTTTGTGTCTATTTATTAAGTCAATTGGGCTCACAACTCTGTTCATTCACTATTAGTATTTTATGTGTTTATGTACACGAAGTTGATATCTCTCAAATAGTATCTGTAAGTAATATTTCTTAATTTGAAGTTTCATTTAATTTAGCTTTTTAGATTTCATGTCCGCATTTAAAACAATTGACAACGAAAGTCTATCGGAATATTAATAACTATAAAGAATGTATTGTTCCTTTTCTACAATGTTTGTCAAATGTTGAATATTTAACATTATTATTAGCTATTAACGGGACAAAAAGTAGTCTTGATCATTTTGTTGATGGATTTGATTTGGAGAAAGATATTGTTTCATACATGCCTTATTTACATCAATTTAATTTTCATATTCGTACAATATTTCAAAACGCTACTCATGTAGAAATTAATACAATACGTGAAGGTTTTCTGAAATATCAACAAGAATCTATTGGTTGTACAGTTGACTATTTCAATAATAATTATGGACAATGTCAAANTTCAACCCAAAAGTAATCGATTTTGAAGAGAAACGCTCAGCATGAGTCTGGGTTGTTCTTTATAATGAGATGCTATTGTTGTTGGGATGTCGAAAGTGTAAGGTTTTACCCGGCATTTAATATATGTACATTGCAAAGTGTTAGTATGGTGAAAAATAAAAGAATAGAATGGCATTTCTCCTGACTAAAATAATCAGTTTTTTGTTGCAAAGAATTTTATAAAAATCCAAAAGATAAAATGTCCCTCCTATTAATACATGCAAGAGAATTCGTATGCAACGATTACGAAAACTGAAGCAGAAAAGGATGGTTCAGCATCAACTGAGCTAGCTAGGGTTCAAAATGAATGGAAAAAAATAATGAAAAATATCGAGGAGCGGTTCATACTTGATAAGATCGAAAAACTGTTTCCGAAGCATAACGCTGAATCTTTTCGACCGAAATATTATAGGTTTTGACTAGAAAAACTACAGTTTGATTAAAAATAAATCGTATTATTTTTGCTAACGTGATGCTTAGATGTTTTTCATATAAATCATTATCTGTTCTGGTGGAATTATGCAGTAATAGAAGTATTTCTCACTAATGAAACTCTTGACATGTGATCCATTTTGTCGATTAGAAAAAGCTTTAATATTTACCCGAAACAAGTAGATGTTTCAATGCTAATTCATAACCTGATTTTTATTTTTATTCAAACTATATTTTTTCTCGTCGAAATCAACAAAATATTAGTCAAGTACATCTTAAATATCATGTTCCAGAAACAACATTTCTTGGATCCTTTTCAGTGATCAATGTTTTTCTTTGATCTTTCAGACGTTGTCGTGTAAGAAATCTATATCAAAATACGTTAAAACTTGCGTGATCAACTAGTATAAAGAAAGTTACGTAGACCTGATTATCATTAATGCTCGAATATAATATGCATGGGGATTATTTACTACTTCAAACGATCTGTATACAGCAAAAACAATAGGCTGATTGTACAAACGATCATTTTCTAGAGCGTCGTCTAACAGTTTTCCATAGGAAAGAAACAAAATTTTGCGAAAAAACCAGTTTCACCACTTTTTATAACCCTTCCTTTCTTCTGATGACATATTCACCATTGCAGTGAATTTTGTTTCCTTTTTTTCAATATTTATACTTAAATACTTATATAATTTGTCATATTAAACTATCATCATTGGAAATTAATTAATCCCAATCTGTTTTCCATAAATGATGCAATTTAAAAGATTAGAATTTTATATTAAAAGCAAATTAGACAGGCCAGGCGGCCTGCCACTTTAAGCGGCCTGCCTGGCCCGACATGGGGTTCGGCCTGGCCTGCCTGTCACAGGCAGGCAGGCCATACGGCCTGCTTGGAGCTCTGGTGCATATTTATGAGTTCAATTAAGATAAAAAATTTTCTGTGAGATATTGATCGTAAAAACTAATAATCGACCATTTAAAACTTTCTATACATTAAACATAGTAATTTAGATATTTAGACGCTTGCTTTAAAATGAAAACGATCAAGTTAAAAATTTTATGAGATCTAAAGAGACTTTGAAATGGTAAACCTTAATTGCAATTCGGAATCTTCATGAAATATACAGAATATCGTTGAAATAGAATTGTTCTCAGTTCTAGAGTGCAACTATCATTATTTTAAAGATATTCTAATTAATAGAAAAGTTTCTTCCTGGAAACATTTTCATTAATGAGCTCTAAAACAGTACAATTTATTTTGATGATATCATCTTTTATCGTATACGTGTTTCTCAATCTAGCAAGTTCTATGTGATAGTCTTCGTTCTTTACAAATCACCATCATATCAGAGCTGCTGTGAGCGACTGGGTGATGATTAGATAACGTTGATAAATTCAGATGTTGTTGTTTGAGAATTTTCAAAAAATTTCATCCATTTTGTATTCAATAAATGTCAAAAAAATTAATTTGTGAAAAACGACAAGATTATCTTTTGTAGTGTTTGTTGCGATAATGGAGAAACTCTTTTTTTTTTAAAGTGTTCGTTTAACTGATTCTAGTGAATAGTTAATAATTAAGTATTTAAAAAAATTTTATATCACGGAAAAACAAGAACAGCTATCTATTTCTAATTGCTCTATAATGATCATAATTATCATGCTCTAATCACTCTTCTAGTTATCATTCGGTGAATTAGTATGAACATGATTTCATCATCGATATTTTTTCTTATATTCAAACAATAATGCAGTATCAACTTGCTACATTGCAAGGACACCAATGCATAATACAGTAACAATCGAAAAGAAACAAGCAGTTGATTGTAGATTATAAAATGACAATGGTGAATATTTATTCATAGATGATGTTACCATTATCAAATGCTTTAGATTTTCAAAGATAATCATAATATGAAGACAAGCATATTTCTAGTATAAGTCTTCAACGATGTTTCATTGGTATAATCATTATCATTATGAATAATACGATCAGTTATCTCATATCTAAAAACTATGTAGAAAGACTGAGTTATCAAAGGGAAAAAAGCGAAATTAAATGATTCAGCATTTTCAATCTTTTGATGACTAAGACTATGTTAAATGCTTACCTGTAAAATAACACAATACTATCTCTTGTCCGATATCAAATAGTTCAAGATAAGTCAAATTTGGATGATCACTAACATGAAAACTACATCCCATAGATGTTTTTCGAGAATGAGTTTTTTTTTTAATACAGTGATTTCTTCGAAGCAATATAGAAGTCATCAGTAATTTATGATTTTCTTATAAAATTGAGAGTGTTAGTAAGTACATCATCTAGTACTAAAATATCAAGTCGTTTATTATTAACTTCAAAGAACTAATAGAGAATATCAATATTGTCAAATTTCTTCAAGATGATGATCAATATTTCATTAGACAGATCAAGAAGACGAATATCAGACTGATCCATTTTTGATTATGACTGCCACCTTTCTATATATGCATTGGCAAGATATCTCAAGAATCTTGATTACTTAATAAAAACTTTTCTTCTATTTGAAATAGAAAACTAATAAGTTTTAATTCGTAAAGACTAAGTTATCAACAGTATAGAAAACATTACATTTTCGAATACAGTTTAAAAATTAGACTTTGTTTTGATGACACTAAAATTATGTATCCAGTTTTGTTCTTGATATCTACTCGAATTTTTATTGTTATTATGAACTTCAAATCATTTAAATCTTTTATTGTGACTTTATAAACACTTGTTTTGATACATATTCTTACGAAAAGACAGCAAGACTGTAATTGTAATGTTAAAATGAATTATAAAAAAATGGTCTAAATACATTTTTTTTTCACAGTTATTAAAGTTTTCGAAGAGTTACAAAAGGTTTTCTGTGAAAAAATTCACTGAAAACTTGATCGTTTTTAACAATGTCAAACAAATGATAAAAATTCTTGACATAATTTTCCACAGGAGACTTTATTTAATACGAATATTATATTTTCATGTTGATGATTAGAATGAAAAAATGATTCGAACCGATATGAAATACTAAAATAGTTTTTTTTGCCATAGTTTTCTTAGCTTCATAAAACTATTGATAAAAGGCACATTTATCAGTCTCATTAAAATATTATAAAATCACTCTACAGAGTTATCGATATCTTTTGGAAGTGGGAAGGGATAAAAATTCGGCAGAAAATATTTTCATCCTTGAATTGCTGTAAGTAGTCACCGGAGACAAGAACAGAATCCACTATAACCTGGTCTATCCTACAACGGACGACCTTCCATTAGAACGTCTGACCTCAAGGCCTACCCCAATCCTATTCACTTCGCAACGACATTATCTGCTCATTTTTATTTCGCTTTTTATCAGAGAGAGAAAAATGATGTTTCAAAACCTGGTTTCTGTTAAAAGTTACCACAAATCTGTAAAAAAAAATTGGCAGGAAGACGGACGTTCTGTGGAAATGGACACCATCAACATCATTAAAAAGCGTTCACTATATCGCGATGCTCAGTTTAGAGAGTTGACGTATGGTTTTGGTGTAAAATGAAGAAACTGTTCAAGAATGCCTAGTTTTACACTTCAACTAATTAGTTAAACAATTGGTTATTTATGTCTTTTGTTCATCTCTTTTCATCTAAATGATCTAAGTTGAAAGATTTTTCAACTACAATACAAAACTTAGTCTTTTTTTTAAATCTTCTAATATTATTTGTATATGAGAGGCCGTAAAATATATTCAATATATTTTCTCTTGAGAGTACATTGAAGAACAAAACTGCTTGGTAATTTGAGTTATATTTTGCTAAATAATGACGAGTTAATATGTTAACGTACTGCAAAACCAAATCTAGTATTGTTTTCTAGATCTGAACCTAAAATTCGTTAACTTTTCCTTATATAACTTGTAATTTGAAAACAACAATTACAGTGAAACATCAAATTTTCTTTGTCCTTACTTATCTTACAGATTAATCGTTCATACACTATCCTCTAAAAATGGCATCATATTTGATTCATTTTGAAGAGTTTCTTGCTACGATGTGTACATATCAATTTGTGAGCAATAATAAAAATCAACATTCTGTAAACTCTTATCACGAAACAAGTCTAACATAAGAAGGATAAAAGAAAAAAAAAAACATGCACGCCTTATAGCAAATTTTCTATATTTAAATGAATTGTCATGAATCCCGTTATTAAGCAAACATTTTCATCTATTTACTCATCGTGTCATAACTACGAAAAAGAAAACTATTAGTTGTGTTGATTGATAGAGAGATATAAAGCATTACTATATATGTAAAGCAAATTTTTTTTTCTCATTTATTCTTTTGCATTCTAACAAATATTAAAAAAATGAACGAAGCGGATGGAGATTACAGAATACATGCAAAGACTAAAACATTATTCAACATAAAAAAATGTAGGCGACAAAGAACTGTGTAACACAAAAAGCACCCCGGCCTTTTTTTCTTGTCTCTTTATTTCTCTATATGTGTTCGTGAACTCTCACAGAGTAGGATAAAACATGTTTTTTCCTGTTATTAGTTAGCATGAAAGACACAACCTGTATGTGTCACATATTCTAATAGAAGGACTAACAACTAATATTCAACGAAAGCCAAAAGAAACAAATTTCAATAAATAATTATGGAAATCGAAGCTGAAAATATGCGTCATTTTGGTATTAAATCTTATTTGGACAATTTCTATGATCGAGAAAGTCATGATGATCAACATAAAGATCTTTGGCATCAGTAAGTGTCTATGCCTTTCTCAGTTTATTAAAACAAAGAAAAGGATTTTTTAAAAGTAAAATATTTTATCGCAAATATTCTTCAGTATCCATCATCATATCTCTTATCGATATTGAATTTCTAAAAGATCATTGAGATCCGATAACAATATTGCAAACAATTTTTGCGTTGATGACTATAATTCAAAATAAGATTTATCAGCAGCAAAATTTAATGATTTGTTCATTGATAATATTTACAGAAAAGAACAATGAATGTTCGCTGAAACTACTTCAGAAATATTTCTATTGATCTTTTTTTCTGATTTTAATTAATTTAGATATTTAATTTCATCTCATCGTCCAAAATTTTCCAGCCACTGGTGGAAGTTACTTCTTTGGTTCGGTTCATTTTTGGTTCTCTTTGGGTTTTCTCTACTTCTAATTGGTTTTTTCCTTCCAAGAAAAAAAATCAATGTTGATACTCAATTATCATCTAGTGATTCTCAAGTTATTATTATTGATCGACAAGCAATTGCTTATAATACAAATTTAGATAGAAGTCATTTGTTTGGAATATGTTTAGTTGTAACTGGTGGTGCTTTATTTACTTCATCACTTATAATGCCTACGTTTTGTCATATGTGGTGTGCTGCTAGTGGAGATTCGAATGATGAAACAGATCCACTAAAAGTATTAACAAACGAACTTTTTTGTTTGTAAAAATAAATTTTTCTTTTTGTTATTGTATAGTTAAGAATGGAAGTACCAAGTGATGAAGTAGTTTTACCTGTACGAAGTATATCAAAACCAATTCAACCAAATTATCATAAAGATGAATCGAGATTAACAATGGAAGGAATGGTGCCTTTATCATCATCTTAATCGTCGTTTAAATTTTTTTAAAAACAAATCTTATCTATGCGCTTGAATTGTATATATTATTTATCATTATTTTGATTAGTTCTAAATTAATTAATAATTTATTCAAATAAATGTTATGTATGAATATTTTGATTTTAGTATAGTATAATCATAGAAGAATTTAATCTTCATATAGTTAATATTTAATTGTAATCTATAATCTATATTATTTCATTATAATTCAATTTTTATTTTCTTTATTGACATGACATGAAAAATTTCGTCTGCATATAAAAATAAATATTTTAATAGATTAGGTTGATTTATTTGCCTAGGATTCAGTCAAACATGTCTTTAAAATGATTCCTAAATTTAAACAAATCAAAAAGTCAATACTTTTTCATTGATATACGAATAGAGGTGTAAGCCGAAGGGTCAAACGGCAGCGACTGTTTCAATTTGTTTCCATGACAGCGGTGCCTACTAGACTCTATGTTTTTCTGCACCGACGGCGCCTTTGACAAGCAAAAAAAAAATGTTTTTGCTTCTAAAAATGCCAGTGGCGGCGGCGCAACGGCTGAACTAATTTTTTCACAGCTGCGGTGGCTAATAAATTCGTAAAACTATCTCAGATTCCGTGGCTGCGGCGGCGCAGCTGGATGGCTAACACCTCTATATAAGAATCACGTTTTTCTTTTGTATAAACCTATAAGACTTTTATTTGGGAGTGTTTACAACAAAGAATTGTTCCTTTTTGTTCTATACAGTTCAACGGACTTGAATGTAATTTGTCTTATTGGAAACTTGAAACAAAATAATTTTGTACACTATCAAAGAGTCAAAAAATACAGTCCATCAAATAAACTGATGTCCGTACCAGTTGTAAGCTGAATAACTGGACTACGGCAACAGCTATGGACCTGTAATTTTAACCAAACAAAATAGTAGAACTCCAAGCATCTTTTTGTTTGATACTATATAAGAGAAAACTATTTTAAAATTCAACATCTCTCTCAAAACTTAAAAAAAAACCTATTAAAACGCTGTTCTATTTCAAGAAAATTTTGATTTTAACATGTACTTCAGATCATTAGTTCAAGAGATGATTCAGGTGATTATCTTCCTCTATGTCAATTTTAAGCAAACAAAATCACATGTCGGTTCTGTTAAATTATTTAGAGTCCTATTGTTTTTTAATAAATTTTCTGACTTATTATCAAATTTTTCTTTAAACTGAAGACTGTTTTCATGCATGTTTTTGAAAGCTTTGCGAAAATAATGAATTTTAAAATTATTTTCTCTTATATAGTATCAGATAAAAGAAAGACGTTCGGAATTCTATTCTTTCGACTGGTGACAATCGCAGATTGATAGCTATTGCTGTTGTCGATTTATTGAGTTTACATTTACTCCTGCTTAATTATGGCGCGAACATTAGTAAAGAAACAACGAGAATAAATAGTTCGTCTTTACACTTAGTGAAAATAAATTTAATATATGATCTCATGAAAATCGAATTAGAAAAGCAAAATCGAACTGCTTGATGCAATAGTCTATAAGATCAGAGTACATTTTCATTTTGTACTTTTTCCTTTAAAAAAAAGACATAAGATAATCTTAGAAACAATATCTGCTTGATATGTATGATGTTCAGAAAAGAAAAAAGCATATATATACTTCTGTTTAATACAGTGGCTACTCGAAACACTATAACGTATTCATAAAACATCACTCATGGCAACAAATAGATCAATTTTTATTGGTTGAATATGATCCATTGGGTTTTTACTCTAACCTCTCTGTAGCGACATATACTTAGTCAATTTTTCCAAATAAATTAAGTTAGATTTTCTAAATATATATTTTCCGAAAAGAAGTTTTCTGATAAAATAAATTTCATTGTCGAATCCATGTTTTACCCCGATCCCATATGTTTTCTTCCTACCGTCCATAAACTACTAAAATTACGTCGCCGACACTTTGGACATTCTTCCTTTTCTATTTTATGTGGTGTCGTCAGTTTGTTTGCACCATTCGTATTCTTACTGACTCATGTTGCTAATTCCTATTTCGAATGATGAGTTCATATATTTTTTTTTACGTTCTTAACAAAAAAATCATTTCTTTAGAAATTGAAACGTTTTCTTTGTAATCCATTTTGTAGATTTTTATAAGAACTCATCATGCCTGACAGTAAATTGTATGATATACTTGGTGTTTCACGTAATGCAAGTGACCAAGAAATAAAAAAGGTTTGATTAATTAACAAAAAAAAAAACAAAGCATTTTTATATTGATTTATTTTTATTAGGCTTATCATAAACTTGCTAAAACTCATCATCCAGATAAAAATCCTGAATCAGCTGAAAAATTTAAAGAAATTTCATTTGCTTATCAAGTTTTAACTGATGAAAATAAAAGACAAATTTATGAGTAAGAAATTCTTTTATTTAAAATAGTTGACAATAACTTTTGTTTTTAATAGTATGTATGGTCTTGAAGGTCTCAAAGAAGGTGGTGCTGGTGGTGGTGGCGGAGGTTAGTATTATAATATAACAAAATCTAAGTAGTCAATAACATTTAGATGAATTTGTCTTAACATATTAGAATTGTACAGTTGATAACAACAGACTTGAGGCAGTTTTCAAAAGAATAGATATGACTTCGACCTCTTCTATAATTTTTTAATAAAAAATATTTAAAAATTAAAACTATTAACTAGATATAAATATGATTGTTGATGATAGAATATGTTTTATCTTGTCAAGAAACTAAAATTTTTCTGAAAAACATCTTTGAACATCTTATAATGAATAGTTTTAATAGAAAATCGATGACTTTCCCGCCAGATTATGTCTAGAAAGAGGTTTTCATTTATTTTCCTGCAAAGTTTTATATTCAATAAAATCTTATGATTTATATATATAATATTGAGTTAAATATTAATCTGAACATTATTGAAACATATGTATTTTCATCATTAAATAATAGTCTTTTATTACAATAAAATACAAAATGAATTTTCTTATTCAGGCAGCATGGCTGATATTCTCGGACAATTTTTTGGTCAGAGTGATCCATTTGAAGGTTTTGGTGGTTTTGGTGGTCTTTTTGGTGGTTCAATGGGTGGAAGAGGTCGTAATCGACGACGTAAAGGTGATGATGTTGCTCATCCACTCAAGTAATTATTTATTTATTTATTTATTTATTTAATTTTAACGAATTAAATAGAGTCACACTTGAACAACTATATAAAGGAGAAACACGTACACTTGAAATATCTCGTAAAGTTATTTGTAAAGCATGTAATGGGTAAGAAAAACAACAATCGATTTTAATTTTTAACAAAATTATTATTTAGTAATGGTGGACGTGAAGGTGCCAAACAATCATGTTCAGCATGTCGTGGTCAAGGTATTCAATTTATAACACGACAATTAGGTCCAGGTATGATTCAAAGAATGCAACAAGTTTGCAAAGAATGTAATGGAGAAGGTGAAATAATCAACGAACGTGATCGTTGTAAAACATGTAATGGAAGAAAAACAATTGATGAAAAGAAAAAACTTGAAATTGTTATATCACCTGGTAAAAATAAAAGAAATAAGAAATAAAATTTTATTTTACAAATTCAATATTTAATTTAGGTAGTAAACATGAACAACAACTTCGTTTTCCAGGTGAAAGTGATCAAGCACCAAATATGGAACCGGGAGATGTTATTATTGTTTTACAACAGGAACAACATGCATTATTTGAACGTAGTGGAGATAATCTTATTATGAAACATAAAATAAAATTAATTGAATCATTATGTGGATTTCAAATAGTTGTTACACATTTAGATGGAAGAAAAATTGTTATTGAACATCCACCAAATGATCCAATAGCACCAGGTAGGTTGCGTTTTTTTTTTTTATTAATTAAAATATGTTCGACTGAAATATACAATTTAATTTTATAGACACATATCGATGTGTAAAAGGACAAGGTATGATTAATATGAGAACACATGATACTGGAGATTTAATTATTCAATTTGATGTCGAATTTCCATCAGAAAAATCCCTTACGGAAGCACAATTAAAGGTTAGTTTTAAATGTTTACTACTCATCTTTATAATTAATTGTTGATTTTTGATTTTTTAGCAACTTGAATCAATTTTACCAAAACGACCACATGTTGATATTCCACAAGGTGAACATGTAGAAGAAGTATCTATGATTGATTTTCATACGACAAAATCAGCACATGATAGTAAACATGGTCAACGACGTGAAGCATATGATGGTGGAGATTCAGATGATGAGGGTGGACATCATGGTGTTCAGACATGTAGATCTCAATAGAAATCCAAAACTTAATTATCTTTTGTTCAATTAGAAACGATCGAACAAAAACATTTATTTCAAATAGAACTTTCGTTTTTTTCTTTTTCCTTATTTAATGGAATATTTTGCAGTTGATCCTATGTCTATGATGATGATGATGCTCTCAGTTTCGTTGAATAAAAAAATCTACAGATGATGTGTCCAATGATAATTTAGAAGAAAAAAACAGATAAGGATTAGTTTTTATTGTTATATCGTATCGGCAGACTCATTTGAGTGGGCATCATGAAGTAGTAGAAACATATACAGAATTACAGTACTCACTTACACATGTGATACTCCAACACTTAAGGAATCTGATTAATTTCTGATAATAGTTCTCATTTATTACAATGATATTCGAAACATTTGTTTGTGAATATCATTGCAGTGGCAATAAGCTTTTAGCCGCAATGAACATTTATAATATTTGATTTAAAATAAATGACCTACTAAATATAATTCAAAAAATTTAAGAAGAACCACTGCTTTCTCATGTTGAATCAATTAACACATGATTGAAAATTTTATTTACAATAATGATTGTTATATCAATGCTAGCATCGATTTTCTATATTCTTTAAAACAAACATTATGATTATTTAGGTGTTTCGCATACTTTAGAAATCACAGGTATAGCACGAATTGAG